TAATAATAATAATAATAATAATAATAATAATAATAATTATTATTATTATTATTATTATTATTATTATTATTATGAAATGGACAGAACAATAATGAAAGATAATGAAAGATAATAATAAAAACCTCTGTGTCATTACGTGCTTCTAAAGGTCAACATTTGCTCTTTTCTAAGCTTTCTCAAAGCTTTTTTTGTGATGTCTTAATGTTTTCTTTTGACCAAGAACAAAAACACCTGCATACTTTGTGGAAAATATAAAATACTGAAAGATTACCCGACCTGTTAGCCATTTTTTCAGTTTAGATCATAAAAAGTTAGCAGAGTTAGCTATTTTTTCAGTTTAAATCATAAAAAGTTTGCAGAGTTAGCATGTTTTTCTAAGCAGGAACCCAAATGAGTGATTGATTCAGGTGTTTGTAAGACAGGTATCCTGGAATATAACTGTGGATATTTGACATGAATATCAAATATATTCGAAGCTGTTTGCTACTCTAGTTACAGGTATTTTTTCTATATGGATAACACAGGAAATGGCTGTTTCTGTGTTAATAAGTAGGACAGAGGCCTCCCTCCCTCCTCTTCTCTTCTCCCTCTCAGTATCTGAGGACATTAGAACATCTTTTCCAGGTTGTTTGACTCCCTGAAAGACCAAAGAAACCATAAAAACCTGAGCAGTGTGTGTCCAGGTATCCCAGCTCCTGCTTCCTGGGACACACACTCAAACATCCGGCTCATGTTTGCACACCCAGGGCGTGCGGGTCCACATCCCACGGCCGGTTGCCGTGGCGACGGCTTTGATGGCGGGCCGTAAACGAGCCCCGGGGAACAGGAAGAAGGGCAGGAGTCTGATAACAAGCGGCCTGGGAACAGGAAGTCAGGTTCCAGAGGGTTTTCCCTCACAGGTCCAGATCCAGAGGGGAAAAAAGGGAGGAGACCTCCCTGAATCCAGTCTGTCACCTGCTCCTGGACGTGTTCCAGATAGAAAAAATGGGAAATGTGGTCATTTGTTGCCATGACAGCAAGCAATTATGTTAACCAGACCAAAACCAGATGTTTTGGTTTGAGGGAAATCCAATTCAGACTCAAGCTAACAGACTTAAGAGTGGAGTCAGCTCACTAAAGTTTGATCTCTTTATATATAAATATATATACATTTTTGTTAACTCAAAGCTGTAGCTGCTCATGCTAACGTCCTAATTTGTCTTTCGCTGACACACTTTCTCCTTTATTTTGTCGGTGGCTCCACATGGCAGAAATTGTAACTGAAAACCAGCTCATTAAGTCAGTTTGTATCACTGTACAACAGCATAAACCAGTTATTTATTTTATTTTATTTTATTTTATTTTATTTTATTTTATTTTATTTTTATTTTTATTCATTATTAATTATTATTATTAATTTAATTGTATTTTACTTTATTTTATTTTCTCATTATTGTTTGTTTTTATTATTACAAATATTGATAAACATAAATAAATGAAATGAAATAAAATAAAATAAAATAAAATGAAATGAAATGAAATGAAATGAAATGAAATGAAATTAAATGAAATGAAATAAAAAGTAAACCAAGTTTTATAAATGTAATATCAACCTCACCGTACTTAGCCATGCCAATGATACATCGTAAGAATATTTTGGGGTAATTCTTTCATTCTAAACATAAAGAAAATTGAATAAAAAATGAAAACAAACGACACGAGTGGGTGAATTAGGCCGGTTTAATCCTTCAGAGCTCCATCCCAGAGCAGGAGGGGGATCTGCCCTCTGAAACTCACAGATCCTGCCTCTGTTTTCCAGATCGAGGAGTTCCGGCGGCTCCGGTCGCACCTGAAGGGAGCGGAGCTCCTGGAGGGGAACGACGGGATGCTGGGGGACAACTTCCGCCCCACCCAGCCCCTCAGCGACCGCACGGTCCGGGCCGCCTTCCAGTGACCCCCCCCCCACCCGAAAACACCTGAGAACACCTGCAGACAACATCCCAGGTGAGAAACTAAGGGTTCCCAGACTTTAATGGAAGATGGGTTCATGCTAGCAGTCATGAATGGGACAAAAAAGCTGCTGGAGCCTTAAAAAACCATCAGAACATATTAAACATGTTTACTTTAGTGATTTACAGTGATGTCATCCGTCTTTTTCGACTTTTTTCTGATATTAAAGCCAGAAATGAGCAAAAATCCAAGCTGAATATTCACAGAAAAGCCAAAGTTAATGATGACAAACGGAACAAAACTGGGAAATAACTACTTTCTTTGACCAGTCTGGTCGTTGTTTTATGTTAGAAACTAAGGTTTCCCAGACTTTAATGGAAGATGGGTTCATGCTAGCAGTCATGAATGGGACAAAAAAGCTGCTGGAACCTTAAAAAAACCCATCAGAACATATTAAACATATTTACTTTAGCAGGTACAGTGATGTCATCCGTCTTTCTCAACTTTTTTACGATATTAAAGCCAGAAATTAGCAAAAATCCAAGCTGAATATTCACAGAAAAGCCAAAGTTAGTGATGATAAACTGAGCAAAAATGGGAGATAACTCATTTCTTTCTCTTTACACCAGTCTGATGGTGGTTTGTGGTTAGAAACTAAGGTTTCCCAGACACTAATGGAAGATGGGTTCATGCTAGCACAAAAAAAGCGGCTGGAGCCTTAAAAAAAACCCATCAGAACATATTAAACATGTTTACTTTAGTGATTTACAGTGATGTAATCCTATTTTTTTACGATATTAAAGCCAGAAATGAGCAAAAATCCAAGCTGAATATTCACAGAAAAGCCAAAGTTAATGATGATAAACGGAACCAAGTTGGGAAATAAATAATTTCTTTGACTTTACACCAGTCTGATGGTGGTTTGTTGTTGGAAACTAAGGTTTCCCACACTTTAATGGAAGATGGGTTCACGCTCGCAGTCATGAATGGGACAAAAAAGCTGCTGGAGCCTTAAAAAAAAACCTTTAGAACATATTAAACATATTTCCTTTAGCAGGTACAGTGATGTCATCCGTCTTTTTCGACTTTTTTACCATATTGAAGCCAGAAATGAGCAAAAATACATCTGAATATTCACAGAAAAGCCAAAGTTAATGATGATGAACGGAACAAAGCTGGGAGATTACTAATTTCTTTCTCTTTACACCAGTCTGATGATGGTTTGTTGTTAGAAACTAAGGTTTCCCAGACTTTATGGAAGATGGGTTCATGCTAGCACAAAAAAAAGCTGCTTGAACCTTAAAAAAAACATCAGAACATATTAAACATGTTTACTTTAGCAGGTACAGTGATGTCATTAATATTTTTACGATATTAAAGCCAGAAATGAGCAAAAATCCAAGCTGAATATTCACAGAAAAGCCAAAGTTAATAATGAGAAATGGAACAAAGCTGGGAAATAACTCATTTCCAACCTGAAAAAGAATCGGGCTAACAGCTCTTTGTCATCCCAAGAATCTGTGCCATCAAAAGCAAAATGGAGTCCAGCTAGCAGGAAACCAGGAGAACCTAAATAAATAATGTTTACATCTTATTCTGAACCCAGGATGGTCTGGATAATCCAGACGTTGTTCCGTCTCTTATCGGTTCTCCATCTTTACCGAGAACCTCTGAATCCAGCTCCTGTCTGCTAGCATTCAGAGGCCCGGAACAGAGAGGTGTGTTGAGAGGGGGGGGGAAGAAAAAAGGCCAAATGAGAAAATAACAAGAGGAGCATTGTGGGTGAAACCGGACCCTGGAGTGGCTCTAACACAAACCCACCTGAGCCGGGGCCGGAGGGGGAAAACTCTGGTTCCTCCTCTAATAACCCAACAAAAACAACATTTATAAGCCAAATCCTGCCTCAAAATACAGTTGAATGACACCTAACAGATCCATATTGTGATAGATAATCAGAATTATTAGATTTTTGATAGAACCCAGACGTAACAGATGGAAGGAATGCATATATATGAATCAAAATCAAGAGATTTAATGAATAATAAAGGAATAAAGGAACAGAATAAAAAGGAATAAAGACTAAAATTTCAAGTCCATTCCGTTAAAGCAGCTATGGATGAATTAAAGACTTTATTCTTATGTTGATTTAGCAGGTTTGAGAGCAGCACAGTGCCCTATAGGTTCTGTTTCTGGTCTCTGAGCTAAATGCGGCAGCCCCTGTTCAGAGTCCCAGATGGGGACAGGAAGTGGGTCAGTTCTGCAGGTCTGGATCCGTTAGAGCTCCAGGAGGACAGAGTACCTACTTCCACATTTCCCCTGAGAATAAACGCACTGGGCTGATTAGAGGTGCTCAGAAAAGGGTTTTCTGGAACTAGTTTCCAACAACAAACCACCATCAGACTGGTTTAAAGAGAAAGAAATTAGTTATTTCCCAGCTTTGTTTCGTTTATCATCATTAACTTTGGCTTTTCTGTGAATATTCAGCTTGGATTTTTGCTCATTTCTGGCTTTAATATCAGAAAAAAGTCGAGGAAGACGGATGACGTCACTGTAGCTGCTAAAGTAAATAAGTTTAATATGTTCTGATGGTTTTTTTAAGGCTCCAGCAGCTTTTTTGTCCCATTCATGAGTGCTAGCAAGAGCCCATCTGAGAACAAACCAGAGTAGACAAAAAGTAACATAAAATATGACATTTATTGGTCACAGTTAAGTGTATCAGCTGGGCTTTGACAGACTAAAACCTCTCTCCAAACCCAGTCCTATTGGCCAGTTAGCTCTGGGCACGAACAGGCCAGGTCGTAATTCATGCAGATGACAGGAATGTGCTAACAAATGGTGTGATAACCTAAAGATGTGGATCTAATGCAACAGAGAGAGAAAAATAGAGAAAAAGGGAGAATTTGTGGTTAAAGCCAGAGAATTTAACACAAAAATATAGTAATAAAGGGAAAAATACAATCAGTGATTTATATAGATCATGTGATAGCATACTATGCTAACATGAGTAATTATAGCCAGATGCTAACAGCTGTAAAACGAGCCTAAAACAGAAACAGGAGCAATAAAAGTCCCCTCTTTTCTCTGTGTGAGCTGGATGTGTGTCTGGGTTAGTCTGTAATCAGATCCATGTTTCTGCTCTACAGGAGGAGAAACGACCAAGGGGCTGCTGTGTGTGTGTGTGTGTGTGTGTGTCTGTGAGTGCATGTGTGTGTCTGTGTGTGCATGTGTGTGTGTGTGTGTGATCTCCATTTTTGTGCTTCGATTCTATCTCCTCATTTTGTTCTTTTTCTCAGATTGTGTGATTCTCTACTTGTGTATAAATGCTGTAGATTTGTGCTGACTGTGTGTGTTTGTGTGTGTGTGTGCATGTGTGTGTTTCTGTGTGTGTGTCTGTGTGTGTGATATCCTTTTTGTGCATTGTTTCTATCTCCTCATTTTGTTCTGGTTGTCTCAGATTGTGTGATTCTGTATAAATACTGTAGATTTGTGCTGACTGTGTGTGTGTGTGTATGTGTGTGTGTGTGTGTTTGTGTGTGTGTGTGTGTGTGTGTGTGTG